AGGCCAGAGCAAGAAGGGTAGACCCTGCTGTGGGAGGAATAAAAGTCAGCCCACTGTATGGGTAGCGTAGCTATATGCTCCCTTAGGGAATGATAAGTCCAAAGGGTAATATACAAATGGGAAACCAAGACCCTGTGCAAAGGAAGTTGTCTACCATCACCTTCTGAGAGGACCCTGGAAGGACACTCTGTCCCTGCAACAGACATGAAGACTGAGAGGGCCCTTTAAGAGACCACGCTCCAAGACATCATGTGCTTGGCCAGAGCCCAAAGCCTAGGCCTTTGACTTCCTCTGAGTCTCACAGCAGCAGCAGCAGCAGCAGCAGCAGCAGCAGGGACAGCAGCCGGCTGGGCTGAATAGAGAGCTCAGCCTCTGACCTCACCCTCTGTGCCTCAGCCTGCACAGCCTTATAAGGAAGTGCCCCAAACAAACCGAGGAAGCCACCTCCGTCCCCCCACCCTGCCCTGCTGCTGTCCCAAGGCTATATTTACCCAGGGGAGGCCTCAGAATAACTTCCCACTTGTCCTCGTGCTGGGGTGGGGGTGCTGCCCCTCCTCACTCCCTCCCCTGGGGACTCCTCCCTCAGAAGAGCTTCCTGTTGTCTGACCTCATCAGAGTCATTCATTCATTCTCTTTCAGCACCGTTTTTTGAGTAGCCACTGTGCCCCAGGCACTGTTCTAGGCTCTGGGTGATAACTAGGACAGAGTCTTTGCTTCCCACCCCCATCCCACCCCTCGCCCCTGAGCTTTCTAAAATAACAGGGTCTTCTGAGAGGCCACACTTGCTCGGTTTCCCTCCTATTCTCTCTCTGGCTCCTTTGTCCTGGGTTCTCTTCCTTTCTCATCCTATAATACTCTCACTGGGTGATCTCTAGGACACCACCCTAATTCTTGTCTCCAACCTAGTTTTCTCTCCTGAGCTCCAGGCCCAATATCCACCTTCCCCTGGAGGTCACAATTTCCTCCTGGATGCTCCATCTCAGAAAATGGTGCCACCATCCCCCAGCTGCCCAGGTACCACCACCCCTATCTCCACTGGCCTATCCCCTCTTCTGCTCCTGCTGTGGACTACCAAGTCCTGAGATTCAGCTTCCCTTGCCTATCTTTAATCCATCCTCTCTCCATGTCCTCACTGCCATCCTCCCCTGCCTGGACCCCTGCAGTTGCCTCCCTGACTCACTCCTGGTTGCTCCAATCTATCCTCATATGGCAGCCAGAAAGTTTTACTTAAAATGCACGCCTAGTCCTGTCACTTCTTTGCTTAAAACCCTTTACAGACTCCCCATTTCCTTATAAAGAAGTCTGTATTCACTGGCTGTCTGGTGAGGCCTCGCCCACTGACCCCTGAGACCTTCTCCAGTCTCATTGTGGACTTTCTTCACTCTTATTCTGCACCTTCCAGCTGTTCTTGCCTTCTTTCTATCCCTCAAACACCCAAACTCAAGCTCTCCCTTCTTTTTCTTCTTCTTCTCCTCCTCCTTCTTTTTAATTTTTATTGTGATTTGGGTGAAAGTTTGCAGAACAAATTCATTTTCCATACAACATTTCATACACATTTTGTTTCATGACATTGACTGCAATCCTCATAATGTAACAGCTCTCTTCCCACTTTCTCCCTATGTTACCTTTTTCCTGTGCCCTTCTTTCCTATGGAGCTCTGGTGGTGTAGTGCCTAAGGCATTTGACTGCTAACCAGAAGCAACAGCTGTTCCTCAGAAGGAAGGTCGGACAATCTACTTCTGTAGAGATACTGCATCAGAATCGAGCAGTGAGTTAGTTTAGTTTTTTCCCCATGTATTCCTGCCCTCTGAGCTATTTTCCTGTGCAAATACTGCCTTTCTGATCTCCTGTGGTTGATTTTTCTAAGGAGTCCAAGCTCTCTTCTTGCCTCAGGGCTTTGCACATGCTGTTCCCTCTGAGTGAAATCCTTTTCTTCTCCCCTCCACCCTTTACTGTCCAGCTCTCACTCATCCTTCATGTTCTGAGGACCTCCTCCCACAGTCCCCCAGCCAGATCAGATGAAGGCCCCTGCTCTATGCTCCCATAATGTCCCGCACCTGTTTTCAAATACAATTGCCACTCAGAAGCCCTCGTTCAATTAGAAGGTAAAGCCCTCTGAGCTAGGAAGCATGTTTTTAGCTGTTACTGGATTCCCAGTGCACAGTGCATGGCACATAGTAGATTCACAGGAAATATATGTTGGAAAATGACAATTACCTTTACGCTATCACCGGGAATATCCTGTTACTGTCTAAACTCATTACTCTTGCTGCATTGTCAGACTATCATTTCCAAAGAGAACATGGCCTCCCACTAAGCACTCCCTTTAGGAAAGTTCTCTTTTGTCTAATTTACATCCTTCCCCGTTTGGGCTTATTGACAGAGTTCTGTTTGGGTGTTCCTGGGTGGGTCAGCTTAACCGCTCAGCTGCTAATCAGAAGTTTGGCAGTTCAAGTCCACCCAGAGGCACCTGGGAAGAAAGGCCAGATGGTCTGCTTCTGCAATGTCACAACCACTGAAAGCCTGTGGAGTGCAGTTCTGCTCTGACGCACATGGGGTCACCATGAGTCTCAATCGACTGGACGGTACGGGGTAACTAACTGGGGAGTTCTGTAGAGGACCAGGGACCCGGGTGTGGGGAAGATAGGCATGCAGGCATAGGGAAGAGGCTTGGCTCAGCCTCTGCCCTTGGCTCTTATCCAAGTGAGGGTGCCCAAGGGCTTGGGAGAGTAAGCACAGAGTGCCTCTGTCCCTGTGGAGGAGCAAGGAGGGGACTCTACTTTCCTGGATGATAGCCTGGTGGGATCAGACAGAGTCTTGTTAATAATGGGTACAGGAAGGAAAGAGCGGAGGTCTTGACCGCCAGGAGGGTGGGGTGGGGAGAGACAGGATCCCAGATCCTAAGGGCAGGGTGTGTGTTGTTGTTGTGTTGTTATGTGCTGTGGAGTCGCCCCAACTCATAGCGACCCCTCCTTGGGTTGCTGAGGCAGTATCACTACGGAAGTAGATTGGCCAACCTTCCTTCTGAGGAGTGGCTGGTGGGTTTGAACCTCCAGCCTTCTGGTTAGCAGTCAAGTGTCTTAGGCACTATGCTACCAGAGCTCCCAGGGTGTGTGTTAAGGGGGTAAAATGAGGCCTGGGTGCATGTTTTTAGCTGTTACTGGATTCCCAGTGCACAGTGCATGGCACATAGTAGATTCACAGGAAATACATGTTGGAAAATGACAATTACCTTTACGCTATCACTGGGAATATCCTGTTGCTGTCTAACCCCATTTCTCTTGCTGCATTGTCAGACTATCATTTCCAAAGAGAACATGGCCTCCCACTAAGAGATTAGGATAGAGGATAGAGATTAGGATAGAGATTTCTAGATGGAGAAGGAGAAAGAGTGAGACAGTCAGGGAGGCTCCTGTCCACCCATCCTTGGTTTAAAGGTGTGAGTGGGGACCCAAGGGACTGGGACTTCCAGCTCTCACCTTTTCCCGGCCCTCTCTGCCTTGGACCCAAGGGGAGGAAGAGCTGGCTGCTGGATTTGGATTTCTCTCTAAATATGGAACATTAGTTTGGCAGCCCCCATCCTATCTCCACCCGGGGATAGTTAGAGCTGTTGCCAGATCTTTCTTCCCTGCTGAATTGAGCTGAAAAGTGGTTTCTATTTGGGTATCCTGACTTCAAGGCCTTCAGACCCCACCTAATCCAGGAACCCCTGGGCCCCTCCCTGCTGTACACAGGGACCCAGGGAACTACCGGGAAGCAGAGGGGGGCGGGTATGGGAAGAATCTGTGGTTGAGTGGATCACAGCTTTAACTCCAGTTGTCAGCATGATACTCAGCACATTCCCTTGTTCTCATCCTGACAGCATCAGTCCATTGCCCTCCCCCTCCCCTTCTCCTGCTTTAGTATGTGGGAGAAGTCCTACTGTACCCCTAAGCTGCAACACTCTGGCTTCCCCTAGACTTCCTCCTGCTCTCTTTATCCCTGGCAACCCCCCCCCCCCCCCATTGAGTGGCAGAGAGTCTGAGGGTCAGAAGCTAAATGCCTGACCTGAGGCCACACAGCCAGCCTGAGGCAGCACCTCCCTCTCTGCTCACCCTGCTGTGACCCAGCTAGTCCAGCAAACATCACAGGCCAGACAATTGTTTGGATTTGGGGGCCAGGGGGCTTATTATGCTGGCAGCACTGAGGGGCCAGTGGGGAGGGCATGCAGGAGTGGGGATGGCCCCAAGGCCTAATCCCTGTAATCAGCAGTGCTATGGGCAGAGCTGATGACAGGCTTGATGAGGCACTGAGGTTACCTGGACAGGCTTCCCCTAGCCAAGCAGGCACCCCCAGGTCCTCCTATCCTCAGGAGGCAGCCTTTCCCCAACACTGGCATCTCCCATTTTCTCCTCCACAGTCTCCCCTCCATTCTTTTTGCTCTTGTGCTGGTCCCGAGAACACCCCTGCCCCCTACCCCCAAAATAGAAAAGGAAGAGTCGACTCTGGAGGACGCATTACTTTATTCAGGAAGAGATGAGCCAGGCAGGACCACATATGGCAGGGGGGAGGGGGGAGGTTAAGATGCAGGAGTACCCCTCACCCCCATTAGCCATAGGCCAGACAGCCTAGGAACTAAGGGCTGCTGCCGAGAGGAGGGTGCCAGGACTGGTGAGACAAACACAGCCCCTTCCCCTCAGAGGAACCACAGGGCCTCTTGTTTCCTCCAGTCGAGGAGATGGAAGAGAAAGGAGTATATAGAAAAGGGGGCCTAGTGCTATAGGGCCTCAACTGGCTTAAACCTCAAGGGACAGTACAGGCAGGATGTCTCACTTTGCACGGTTCAAGGGGCAGGTTTTTATTCCCAGAGCTTGGGAAGGCCCCTTTTCTACACCTCATTTCACCTTGGCCAGCAGCCAAGCCTCTCAGATAGAAACCCTAAGTTAAGGGTACTGCCCTAAGCAGGGAGGGGGCTTGGGGACAACCCTCCCCCAGGCCCTCAGTGCAGGAGGAGGTCTACTCTAGTCTTCCCCTGAGGACCAGGAATCTCCATCTCCTTCCCTCTGAGTGAACTTCAGAAACTGGCCCTGGCCCAGGTGAAGAGGAACCCCTGCCCAAGGGGCCTTCAGGGCATTCCCCTCTTCCACCTCTAAGGGGCTTCCTTGATTCCCTTCGGGGTCTGCTGGCTTCCCTGGCCCTCCTTCCTCAGACTGTTCCAGCCTGTTCACTAGCCCCCCATTCATATGCTCTGATTCCTCCTCCCAGCTGGGACCTTGGCCGTTGACACCAAGGGTTTCCTCTGTGCCCTTGTGGCCCGTGTCCTCCACCCCACTGGGCGTTTCCAGGGGGCCAGAGACTTTGTCCTCCTTCTCTAAGGAAACCAAGTCAGATGCCTCCTCTGAGCTGGAAGGTTCAGCGCTGTCCTGGGACTCAGTCTCCTGGGCAATCATGGGAGCATCAGCCGCTGAGCCCCTTAAGCCATCATCCCAGGGAACACTGGCCCCCCCAGTCTCAGATTCCACGAGATCCCCTCTCTGTGGGCCACTCGGGGTCTGTAGGCTTCCCACAGAGGACCCTGGTCCCCACCGCCCAGCCCCTGGCCCCTTCCTCTCTTCCTCCTCCTCCTCCCCTTCTTCCCCACTCTCTTCCTCATCCGCAAACCCATCAGACTCCTCATCCCGATCCCAGGCTGCAGGCTCCAGTAGCAGCTCGGGCACCTGTCTCAGGGGTTCTGCCACCTCCCCAGGGACCCCAGGAAAAAGAGAAGCCTCTGTCCCTAGGTCCTCAAATTCCTCAGACAGGTCAGAACCATGGCTGTGCCCCTCCTCCTCCTCTCCCTCCTCTTCTTCAGAGAGATGGGCCCCAAGGTCCTCAGAGGCCAGGATGGTGGGTTCCCAGCTTTCCTGCCTGGCCTCCTCCTGAGGGGAGGGCCTCTCCTCTCTAGCTGGCCCCCACTTGGAGGAGGCTGGAGACCCGGGGAAGAGGACCAGGGGAGTGGAGTCGGGAAGGGTCTCCCCTAGCTCATCGGCCTCACTCTCTTCTCCGCTCTCTTCCTGGAGGCCTTCAGAGATTGCCCCAGAACCCAACTCCTGCTCACCTTGTAGCTTTCCTGGGGCCTCAGCCCTATTTTCCAGCCCTAAGTTAGCTTCCTGGTTCCCCTCAGTCTGGGGTTGGGCCCCAGGGGTATCTTCAGGGAGTGAGGTAGGCACACAGGGCTCAGTAGGCCCTGAGCTGGGGGCCTCCGGCACTGGTTTTGCATCTTCCACAGCCTCCTCTGGCTTGGGCTGAAGGGCATTGGTTCCATCAAGACACAGAGTCTCAGCAGGGAACCCCTCCTCTGTCCCCCAGGCTGCCTCAGACTCAGGTTCCTCCCAGCCCTCAGATTCCTCAGGCTTCCGGGGGTCTCTGCTCTCCCGGGGCAGTTTGATGAGTTCTGACTCCAGAGAATCTGTCTCCTTTAGGTCCCTCCTGGGCTCTTCTAAGCCCTGGACTTTCTTTGCCTCCAAACCTTCCTCCTCTAGGGGCAGCTCTATCACTTCTTCTTTGGCCAGGTTGCCTGGGTCCTCCAGCCTTACTGCCTCCTGCTCCAGTCCCTCCTCAGCTCCCACAGCAGACTCTCCCATGGCTGTCTCTGACCCCAAGGGGACCTGTGTGGAGACTGGTGCATCCTCTGGAGCCATCTCCTCATCTCCTAACATTGGCTTTATGACCTCTGGCATCCCCTGGGGAGCTCCGAGGCCTGGGGTCCTCCCCTGATCTAGTTGCCCTTCAGGGTCCTGGAGGTCCTCAGTACCTCCTTCCCCCTTGGCTCCCTCAACTGGGACCTTCTGCTCTTCAGGCTCGGGGCTCCCTGGGTGCCCTTCAGCTGTGTTCCCCGCCTCCCCTGCAGCATCCAGCTGTAGCTCTACCTGCTCTACGGCCTCCTCTTTCCCATCACAGCCATCCTGCTCCCTCAGGCCCAGCTCTGCTTCATCCTCATTTTCCACTTCAGTCCTCTCAGGTGGGGGGTCCCGGCTTAGTTCTTGGTCCCCCTCCACCACATCTTCCCAACTCTGCTGCTTTACAGATAGTGGCAGCTCCTGTCCCTCATCTTCCAGAGATCTTAGTGAATCTTTATTTTCTCCCTTCTCCAGGTTCCCCTCCTCTTCCTGATACCTTTGACTTTCCTTGTCCACCTCTTTTGAAGATTCCAAATTTTCTAGGTTCCACTCTCCCAGCGATCTCAGTGGTCCTTGACTCTCCTTTTCTAAGGGTCTCAATGTCTCCTGGATCTCTTCCACAGATGGCAGTGGTTCTTGAATATCCTTTTCTAGAGGCTTCATTGTCTCCTGATTCTTTTCTTCTAGAGACCAGAGTGGCTCTTGAATTTCTGGAGGCTTCAATATTCCCAAGACCTCTTCTGCAGACTTCAGTGATTCTAGATTCTCTGTTTCTAAAGATTTCACTGTCTTTACATTCTCTTCTTTTAGAGATCTCACTAGCTCTTCTTGATTCTCTTTTTCAAGAGGCTTTGATGCCTTCTGGTCCTCTTCCCCTAGAGACCTCAAGGGCTCTTGAGTTTCTTTTTCAAGAGATCTCAATGTTTCTTGCCTTTCTTCTTCTTGAGACCCTAGTGGCTCCTGATCCATGTTTTCTAAGATCTCCTGATTCTCATCTCCTAAAGGCTTTAGTGACTCTTTATTCTCTTTCTCTAGAGGTCTCAATATCTCCTGGTCATCCACTTCTAGAGATCTCAGTGGTTCTTGATTCTCTTTCTCTAGAGGTCTCAATGTCTCTTGGTTCTCTGCTTCTTGAGATCTCAGTGGTTCTTGATTCTCCTTTTCTAGAGCTTTCAAGGACTCTAAGTTCTCCTCTTCCAGAGACCTCTTTAATTCTTGATTTTCCTTTCCTGGAAACAAAAATGTCTCTAGGTTATCATCAAGAGACCTCAGGAGTTCTTGATCCTCCTTTTCAAGAGATGGCAATCTCTGTGGGTCTTCTTTTTCTATAGGTGTAAGTAGTTCTAGAGTTTCCTTTTCTAGAGATCTGACTACCTCCAGATCTTTTTCTTCTAAAGATTTCAATAGCTCTTGATTCTTTGTTTCTAGAGTTATTTGTGTCTCTAAGTTCTCTTCTTCTAAAGACCTCAGAGAGTCTTGATTCTCCTTCTCTACAGATCTGTGTGTCTCATGGCTCTCAGACATTAGTGGCTCTTGAACCTCCTCTTCTAGAGACTTCAGAGTTTCTTTTTCCAAAAGCCTATGGGGCTCCTGGATTTCCTCCCTGTCCAGATCTCCCTCCTCTGGCCACGTTTCCTGTGGTAAGCTGCTCCCTACTTTCACCTCTATGGTTGCTTTTTCCTCTGTCAGTCCCCATATTTGCCCTTCACCTTCCTCCTGGGGTAAGCTGGACACTCCAGACCCACTGGGCTCTCCATCTTTGGCCTCTAAACTAGGGTGATCAGGGTTGAGGGGTGGGGCCAAAGAGACATGATCCTCAGGGGACTGGCCTGGCCTGGCATCCTGCTGCTTGCCCCCAGGTTCCTCTGGTCCTGGAAGGATGCTCGCAGAGATGGCCACCTTAGCTTCAGCCTGCAGGGACTCTGGAGCCTGTTGTTTCCCACTCTGTGACTGGACCAGGGAGAGAGGGGCTTCCTGGGCTCTGATCTCTGTAGCAGGGCAGGGAGTCTGGGGTGTGGGTGGAATGGGGGTACTGGCCAACGTGGGGGTACCAGCCTGGAGGAATTCCTGGCTCTTCAGAAAGGCTGGCATAGCTATCCTAAGGGCATCAGGTAAGGGTGAGGTGAGGGGGGTTGGGCTTAGAATGGGGAGCAAAGGTTCCAGACGCCGGCCTTCTGGGGTCCCAGGGAAATGCAGCTCTGGCTTTGGGTCTGGAAAGGCAGAGGGGGAAGAAACAGGATCAGTCTGTACTGTCAGGGACAGAGCCACAATGCAGCCACCCACTTCTGGCAAGAACGTCCATGGCCCCTGCCCCAGATCCCCACGGACAGAATGCTCACTTTGGTTGGAATCAAAGCATCAAGACTGGGACTAGTGCCTCTCAAGAAAGGAATAGGTCTGGAGTATGATGAGCAAGGAGGGGTAGAGTCTGAGGGGGAACCTAACCCCTCCTCTTACCCTGGAAGCTGAGGGAAACCTTGGAAATGCCGCCAGGTGTCTGCAGTCGGGTATTCTCAGCCTCCAGGAGGGTCCTGAAGAGAAGGAGGAAAACCCGGGTCAGCCCTCTGCCCACAGGCAAAAGTGCCTGGAAAACTCAAAGCTGAGCTTCATTGACCCTGACATTGCAGGCTTCTTCACTTCACAACTATCACACAAAAGCCACATACAGGGGTAAGCTTGGCTGTGTACATGAAATCAGTTATATATCCACAGACATCACACTTGGTCACACAAATATTTGGGACACAGAGTTGGGCTCATAGTCACAGAAGTAGATTCCCACAGTGGCATGTGCACATGCGCATACGCACACTTAGACTTGTCTCCTCCTCCCCATCCAGGCCAATGACCTCATCCTCAGTATGGGGGACCGATTCTCATGCTAATTGATGCTGCCATTGTCCAGGCAGCCATCTGGAGGGTCTGAGGAGGGGGGCTTCCTAGGGGAAGTGGGAATTCGCAGGCTGTTCCCATGGGATGGGCTCCCCCCTCCTTCCCCGGGGCTCCCAGAGCTGGTCACAAACAAAAGCAAATGAATTCAGTCCTCTCTGTCCAAATCCTTTTCATGCCTCAAAAATCAGCGGTTAAATTCCTTGGGGCCTGCCCAGACCCTTCCCCTCAGCGGTTTGATTGGGGATCAAGGTCCTCATCTTGGGATCTCAAAGTTTCCCAGATCCCAGGCCCCCCAGGGCAATGGAGGTCTTTGGGTCCAGGCCCCTGCCTCAGTACCCCGTGGGCAGACTGGGGAGGGAACAATCAATTCAACAAGTTGTGCTGAACATCTTCTCTCTGCTCTTGTTCTGAGTCTGCTTTTGTTGTTGCTATCTGCCATCGAGTCAGATAGGCTCATAGCGAACCCTCCTTGGGTTTCCGAGGCAGTATCACTACAGAAGTAGATTGCCCAACCTTCCTTCTGAGGAGTGGCTGGTGGGTTTGAACCGCCAGCTTTCTGGTTAGCAGTCAAGTTCCTTAGGCATTACGCTACCAGAGCTTCCTGAGTCTCCTTAGTCCATCCTATGTTCTTACCTCTGTCCTTCCCAATGCAACATCATTCCCTCTGAGCTCTGTCCTCTGTGGTGGTGGAGCCATTCTCTTCTTCCTTTTTTTCCCCAGATCCTGAGTTCCCCTTCTCTGGATCCTGTCTCTCCTCATCTCCTGAACCTGTCCTCAGGGCCCCTGCCTTTTTTGCCAACGGATTCTGGGGGCCCCATCCTAATAGCTTATCCAGCCCTGGCCTCCTCCCTGTGGACCTGATATATACAGCCCTTCCTGAGATGCAGAGCCCCTTCCCTGAGCTCCATGACTGGATTCTCCCCACAGCCAATCTGGCCAGTTTCCCAGTACAGACTGTGGTTTTGCCTAAGGCCACAGAGCCAGTGAAAAGCAACAGCTCCTCCACTGAACAACAGGGAATGTGGGCAATGGAAGGGCTGGGCAGGACCAAGTAGGGCTTGAAAGGGGTCAGGCGCCATGGCCTTCAGGCAGGAAGGGGCCTTGAAAGTCACCCAGTCCAGCTCGCCTCCTCCAGATAAGGAGACCTAGGCCCAGGACAGGTGGCAAGTCAATTCGACAACCCCACACCTCCAATTCCTCCCAAAGCCTCCATACCCTCAGTGTGAGCACACACAGAGATGCAAGCCTTTCAGCCCTTCAGGGAAGGTCTGGATTTAGATGGACTACATGTGTCCAGTCCTCTCTCCTGAGGCAGTTCCACTCAGCAATATCATGTCTCCTTGGGTGATTTCTTAGGCACAGGACATCTCTCTAGTCTATAACCCATGGAGAAAGCAGGAGGGCTCAGGTGGGGCATGTCCTATTGTGGAAGTGATTGGCCTTGGGTCACAGAACCTGGTGGTGGCAGAGCCACTGCCACCCCTGGCTCTGGGTCCTTGTCAGCTGAGTGTCTAGCATATATGTGCATTTCTGTATGACTGGGTGGGCTGGGGTCAACCTGCACCTGTATGTGGCCACCTCCAGGCTGAGGGACATCTTGAGGTGTGCCAGCTGCTGCCGACCTTCCAGGACCTGGGCGATCTGGTTCTGCAGGCCCTGTTTCTCCTGTTCCAGGGCTTCCACCGCCAGCTGGAGAGCAATCCAAAGGCAATCAGTGAAGGGGGAAGGGTCCTTCCTGCTAAACTAACTGACTTCTCTATAGAAGCAGGTCTCTTGTAATCCCTACCCCAGTTCCTGCCCAGAAAACCCCCTCTGGAGCCTCTGAGATGAGCACAGTGGCCACTCTCAGCCCTCTCCCACGGTCTGTGGTTCCTCCTGTGAGGAGGCTGATTAAATGGTAGCACATGCTGCTCAGAATTCAGCTCCCACAGGAAGGGGGAGGCATGCGAGGGAGGAGAGGGATGGGTTACAGAGAGAAGGAGAGGGGGAAAAGTGGAAGCAGAAGGAAAAAAGATTAATCAAGAGGCCTGGAGCTTGCAGGACTGGAAGCCAAACAGCCTCAGTCCCATCACTGTCTCTTGCTCCTCATCACACTCCCACCTAGTCTACTTCCCACATGTTCTGGAATCTTTCTCTCTGAGAGGAGGGGTGGGGAGGTGGCCATGGGGAGACCTCTGTCTGGCCCAGGCAGGAGGCTGTTTTCTCAGCTGCTGGTCACAGCTGTGCAGCGTGAGGGGGAGCAGCTGTCCCAGGCCTCTGGAATGCAATCCAGGGAGCTTAGAAACTGTGACATGAGAGAGGGGATGGTAGCCATCATCCAGAGCCCCTCACCCCCTCCTGTCAGAGGGAGGAGGACTGTTAGGAACTTAGAGATTCTGAATAGTCAGACTAGCAGACAGATAGCTGAGAAGGAAAGTTCTAGGTATCTTCCGAGTAATAGCAGATGTGGGGAAGAGGCCCATCAGGCTATCACAGCAGGAAGGTGCCACTAAAGTGCTGTGTAGTGGATAAGAGGGTGGCTGCAACGGAGTCAAGCCTCAGGAAACCCTATCATTCCCACCCCAGTCTCCAAAGGGCTGCAAAAGCCTAGGCCTGCCACACCACGGATGGGTTCCTAAGACGTGGTCCCAGAATAAACAGACACTTCCTCCTCACTCCTGCTCCCTTCCCCTGAAGTTCTCTGATCCCCATAAGGACTTCAGGGAGCCTGGCCTCGCCAAGGCCCAGAACTTCCTCACCTGGAACTTCTCAGTGGCCTGAAGCCGCTCCTTCCAGCGGCCCTCCAGCCTCTGCTCTAGCGCAGCCCTGCGCTCCTGGAGGCCCCCACGCTCCGCCTGCAGCTGCTGCAGCTCCAGGCGGCCCTCACGGGCGCCCTGTACCGCACGGCCCAGCCGCTCCCGGGCCTGACCCAGCGACGTCTCCATGTGTGCCACGCGCTCCTGGTAGCCGCGCACTGCCCCACGCCACGCCTCGCCCAGCCTCTGCGCCAGCTCCTCCACCTCGGGGGCAGGCGCTGGGGGCCCACGGGGCGGTGCGGGGCCGCGGGGGAGGCAGGCGGCCTCCGCGTTTAAGCTAGCGCGCTCCTCCTCGTGCGCCGCGCGCAGGGCCTCCAGCTCGCGCTCAAGATCAGTGGCCTGGGTGCTCAACCAGATCCGGGAGCATTTCTCAGCCTCGACCGCTCGCCGACTGCGGGCTGCCTCCTCTGTCGCCCGCTCCCTGGCTAGACGCTGCTGCTGACACCGTCCTGCAACACCTTCCAGCTCTTCCGCCAGGTTGTCGCGCGCCATTTCGGCCGCGTGCTTCTCCCGCCAGCGCTGATCCACGAGGGCCCGCAGTGCCGCCAGCTCATCATCCGCGCGGGCCCGCCAGGAGGCGTCCGCAGACTGTGCCCGAAGACCCCTGAGCTCTGCGCTCAGCAATTCATTATGCTCCTCCAGCGCCTTGACCCGGGACAGATAGTTCTCTAGGCGCCGGTTGAGCTCCCACATCTGAAAAGACTCCTCCCCCAGGCAGCCCTCCATCCTGCTCGTCTGAGCCACGGAGGGTGGAGAGATTCAGGGCACCGGGAAACGGGACCAGTTCTCAGAGTTCTTAGGGCCAAAGGGTAGAGTGAGCGAACGTGCCAAACACAAAGCCGGGCGGGGCGCTGGTAGCAGCCGGGCAACAGTGAGTCCCGGGCCGGGCGAGGCTATTCATACTCCCGCCAGTCGGGCGGGAAAAGGGGCGGGACCCAGACCTTAACCCCTTAGAGTTCAGAGAAATGGCGCCAGCCTCTGTCCTAGTGTTGCTGGAGTGCTGAGGAGTGGGCCCAAAGGAGGAGCCGTGGCTTGGAGAATCCGATCGGATGGGGGAGGCATTCTGATGGCAGAGGCCGTGAAGAGAGGTTATAACCTGTCATAAAAGCATTTGATGAATGGGACGGACCCTGTGGAGGGCCAGCCAGGGGATTCAGGCCTAGGCAGAGGGAGGGGGGCGCATGTCTCAGTTATTCAGTACAGGAAAGGGCACAAAGGCGGTATCACTTATATAAGATTCCGTTTCTGCGTGCATAAAATGGGAGGAATGATAGAAACCTCATGGGACTGCGGAAAAGATGGATGTGGCCACTGTTTTTGTAAATTGCAAATGCTCACCTTTGTGAGATACTGAGGGGGTAGCATTGGAGAGGGAAGCTGGGAGATATTGTCTGGAAAACAAGAACAAAATCTGATATTGGGAGACACACACATGCACACACAACCTAGTGCCTCAAAGTTTCCTTCAGGAAACACACCAGGCAGAGAATGTCATGGGTTTAAGAATGTCCTTCCCATTATTCACCTCCATTCATCCTTCCACCTTTCTCTATTACCTGAGGCTCACATACATACCCACTTAACCTAGTGGAAGGCCTCCTGCAGTTCCCAGGGAAGAGCACCTCATCCTGTCCCCCACATTAAGAGATTTTGGGGGAGCAGAAGGTGCCCCCTGGTGGCTTACAAATCAAATCTCAGAGCAAGTAGAAAGAAGGGGCAGCTCTTGTATTCACAAGTTGTATTCACAACTAGCCCAAGTTTGTTGAGCCTTTATGATGTGTCAAATCCTGTGCTAATGTTTTACTTACATTATCTAACTTAATCCTCAAACAGCCCTTTGAGAGCTCTACTGTTCAGGAAACAAATAACTGGCTATCACTAGGCTCAAGCTCCTCCTGAGAGTAGCTGGGAAGGCTTTATGGAGGAGCAGGTGCTTGAGCCTAGTGATAAGGCACAGGGTGTGTAGAATATAGAAGAAGCAGGAGCAAGAGGAGGAGATTCAGGGACAATGAGACAGAGGAGATCTTTGGGGCAAGGATTCCTGCTCGCGTAAATCTAATTCTGACTCCTAGTGACCCAGTAGAACAAAGCAGAACTGCCCCCATATGGTTTCCAAGGCCGTAATCTTTAAGTAAGCAGACTGCCACATCTTTCTCCTGTGGAGCAGCTGGTGGGTTCAAACTGCTGATCTTCTGGTTAGCAGCCAAACATTTAACCACTGCATCGCCAGGGCTCCCACCTAATTTGGTAAAGGGAATTAATACTTATCCATCCCCTTAGGTTTGTTCACAGGATCAAATGAGACCAGGTAGAGGGAAGTCTTGGTACAAAGCCTTTTTGAGAACCATCACAATGACAGCCATTAAGCTGTAGAAATCCCTCCCTCATGAACCACTCTCAGTAAGTTTGGGAAGTGTGGGGAGCAGAATCTCGTGGGGGAGAGTGTAGTGTTGATTTTCCAAAGGCTGGTTCCCATAGCCATAGCCTAGCGAAGCTGATATCAGTGCTTAGAAGAGTCTAAATAGAAAACAAGTGACTTGAAGCAATTAGAAAAAAAAAAAAAAAAAAAAGTCAACCTCCTGCAGGACATCAGGCACTCAATGAGCATAAAGTGGGCCAGGAGGCCTCCTTTCTTCCCTCAAGGAGGGTTACCAGAATTTTTGTGAGGCCTTGGTGGTACTTCTTATTGTGTTCCTGGTACCAGGAGGGGAATGTAGTATATAGTGTGTGGACACAAAGTCATCCCCAGAGATGTCCATGAGCAAGCTAAGGAAGGCTCTGTGGGCTACCCACAGGGTTCTGTCCTTCGTCCTAACTATTAAAACTTTTTAAAAAGACTTGAATGAAACATAGAGGCCACATTTGTGAAATCTACAGATTATGCAAGAACTGAGAATTAGATTTTAACTGAATGGAAAAAAACGAACCAGATAATTATGAACAGGATAAATATAAAATTCCATGTTTGATTTTTTAAAAAAATCAACTGCATAAGAATGGGAGACTAGAAAACCAACCAAAGAGCATGTCTAATGAAGAAGATCTGGGGGTTTTAGCAGACCACAAGCTTGGTATAGGCCAACACTGAGAGGTGACCATCTAAAAAACTAGAAAGGGTATAAGTGATAAATAGATGAAAGATGTCCACATTAAGGTAGTGACATTCCTGTTGTCCTCCACACCTAGAGTATGATGGACCTTGAAGGGCTTAGAGTTCATTCCAGAGGAAAATGACTAGAAAGTAAGGGGTATTGGAATCATGTTTGATGAGAAGTTTCTAAACAAACTCATGTCTCAAGATTGAAGCTAAACTCTCCATTTAATCATAACAGGCTCTGAGTATCACACACATCTTATAGAAAGTTGTCAGACATACTCTGAACCCCTGACCCCTTCCTCAGGCTCTGTGAGAGAGAATAAGTGGGGTGTGAAGAGGCTGGGTGTAGCATCACTGGCATAGAGAGTGGCCAGCCCATGAGGAAAGACTATGGCTTTTCCTCTTCTCCTTAGAGCATAAGGGTGATAACTCCCCAAGGGGAGTTGGCTGGGGCTTCCAAGGGGGTGACTTCTCAAGGTTGGAAGCCTACCTTGAAGATACATTGGCATCCTACTCCTGGGAAACCATCTTTTAGGGCAGAAGGCTTGCTCATCTGCCATCTGGAGCTATCTGAGTGAGGGGCACAGATCTTGAAGAGATGGTCCAGGTATAAAGAGGGCCATAGTGAGGGACATGTGAGATTCTGAGGTCAAGAGGACTCCCTGAAGGGAGTCCCCCTCGGGGAAGCCAACTTTAAGCATCACCACCTACCTCCAAGGGAGGTCCTCATGTGAGCAAGGTTGCCTGTTGTTGTTGTTGTGTGCCATCGAGTCGGACCCAACTCACAGCGACCTCTCCTTGGGTTTCCAAGGCAGTATCACTACGGAAGTAGATTGCCCCATCTTCCTTCCCAGGAGTGGCTGGTGGGTTTGAACTGCCAGCCTTCTGATTAGCAGTCAAGTGCCTAAGGCACTATGCTACCAGAGCTCCCGAGGTTACCTGTGTTGTTATGTTGTTAAGTGC